TTGTTTCACACCGATCTCTTCAATCAGAGTGGGCATCTGCAAGATTGACTCAGGTTAGTGATCTGATTATGTTTTGTTCCGATAGCTTTTCAGCAAGTTTAATTTGCGCCAGGTCGAGAAACGCAGCTCTGCGTTTACTGCCACAAACCTAACCCGTTGACCTTTTTCTTGAAACTTCGCATGGTCTGCGCATGTACAACCTAGCGTGCGTTTTAATTTCGTCACATGCTGGTTGTTCGTCCTCAAGAATTCTTGTATATCCATTGTTTCAAAGAAATTTATTCCGGTGTAGAGAACAACATGGAGTACTATTTTCTCTATTAATCATGTTATTAATAGTTAGTCCTTCATGTTAATCATGTTATTCAAAAGCAGAGGAAAATGTGCTCTCAAGTAATGTGCTACTTATTTTTTTTTTATTTCGGATCTGAAACAAAAAGCCTACCAAGTAATAAAATTATTGCTGTGATTCAGTCGTGCGGAGCTCTAGTTGCAAGATCTGAACCAACTTTGCTTATTTCATCATATATAAGCTCTGCGCGCAGGTCTTCTCCAGTCCTCCAGGTATGTTCTTTGGCAGCTACCTTTTCTTCTTATGCGAACCTGGCTATGTATCTGATGAAATTCTCACATGAATTGCGCTTATGCAAATTCTTCTTTTGGGTTTGTACGGTTAATCCCTTACTCTAATAAATCCCTTTTGTATGAACGAGGAAACATAAGTGAGCCAATCCCCTCCGAACTGAATAGTTTGCACTAATGCAAACTATCTCCAGGATTTGTTCAGTTAAAGTACAGTACATAATTGGTATGAATGTTAGGAGAGCCAATTGAAAGGTGTTGTATTCCCTTTTGATAATCCACCGAGTGTACATCCAATCAATAGGCTGCAATGGAGAGCCAATTGATATTAGTAGCAAGCTATCCATAAAGATGAACAAATAGACAATCACACAGGCACAATATAAAGCCATTACACAAATAGTTCAACACAGTCCCCTAAATAAGACAAACTGGAGTGCTCAGTAAGCACATTCCGCAATCCATAGTCCACAATACTACATTACTAGAAAAATTAGACTATTAGAGTGCCGTGCCTAGGCTGTCACACTCCAGAGTCCAAAATACTACATTACTAGTGCATAAGTAGTCTACAGAAATACTCTCACACTCTCAAGCACTAGTAAGTCAATAGAAGTCATCCTTCATCAAGAAAGGATCTGAATTGTCAACATCGGCAGTGCTTGACCATCACTCTCATGAGCAACAATAGGTGCAATTCCAACATAGTCATCAACTTCAACATCATCAGCCGAATATCATCAGAGTCATCATCTTCCATGTGTTCAGCCTCCAGCAGTTCATCAGTCATCCTATTTGGAGCACTAGGTACTACAGACCAGCTCTGAGTATAGGTTGTATCGATATTAGTCGCATCACTGCGGGCTACCCTAGGGAAAAAGCGACCATGAAGTATTTGGGATGCACCAACGGCCTCATCAACTTGTTCCCATGTAATTTCAAGTCTACGGCCATTATGGACTGGTTCAGCATCCACATCAACCCATACTCGTGTCGGTTCAGGTATTGCTTTGATGTTGTGGATGACTGGAAGCGTTGGAGGGGCAGTAGGCGGGACCCCAACAAACTTCTTGAGGAGGCCAATGTGAAAGACGTCGTGCAGGCTGGTGTGGGGTGGAAGATCGAGGTGGACAACGACGTCATTGATGAGCTCGATGATGCGGTAGGGACCATAGATGTGAGGCTTGAGCTTCCCTTTGGTTGACATGGGCAGGGAGGCCGGGGCACAATGGTGGAGGCTCGGCCACACCTACTCACCTACAGCATAGGAGACGACGTGATGGTGCTTGTCGTTGAAGTGCTGGTGGACGTCTTGGGCCTGCTCCAAGCGGTAGCGGACGTCTTCCAAGAACTCATCATGGTCAGCCATGTTCTTGGCGACGGCGGCCACCCGCGTCTCACCCGATTCATATGAACGGATGGACGGGGAGTCCCGACCATAGTCCACCCGGAACGGTGTGTCCTTGAGCAACATTTGGTAGGCGGTGTTGTAGATGTACTCGACCCATGACAACCAGTGAAGCCATTGGCGCCGACGGCCGCCGGAGGTACATGACGATAACGCGGTTGGCCGCCTCCATCTGCCCATCGGACACTAGGGTGGAACCCGAAGTCGTCATGTGTAGCTTGGCGCCCGACAAGTGCATCAGTTCACGCCAAAAGGTAGACATGAAGACTGGGTCCCGGTCGGATGACACCATCGACTGTGGCACCCGTGCAGGCGGACCACCTCAGTGAAGAAGGCCTGCGCCACAGACTCTGTTGTGTATGGGCGAGTGAGAGCAATGAAGTGGCAGTACTTACCAGAATGACGGCTTGCCGCCGACGCGAGGAAGGGCCTTGATAAAATCGAGCCAAATGTCCGCCCACACTGTGGAAGGGACTGGCTGCGGCATGAGTAGGTCGACAGGGTGCAAGTGCTTTGACTTGTACCGCTAGCACGTGGAGCAGCTGCGGGTGAGGTCCTGTACCACACGGCATAGGTTGGGGGAGTGGAAATCACGGCGCAGGCGGTGGTGACTGGTGAGTGCGCTGGGCACCCTCATGACTATCCTCATGGACAGCCGCAATGAGCTCATGGAGAAGCGGTGATGTCGGCATGATGCAGAGGCGGGAGTCGAAGGCGACCATGCCATCTACGATGGACCATGATGCCTGTCACTGTCCTGCTGCAATCTCGTTGTGGAGGGCCACCAGCGCGGGGTCGGTGGCTTGCTCCTGCCGCAATTGGTCATTGCGCATGTGGGATGGTAGGTTCACTATGTCGATTTCAAAGCTGTCTTCCTAAATGGTGACTTCACAAAGGAGATGTATGTCGCTCAACCGCTTGGGTTTGCCATCCCAAGGTGTGAGTGGTAGGTACTGAAACTACACAAGGCCCTCGAGGGACTTTGCCAAGCCCCACGAGTGTGGAACGCCAAACTCAACAGGACGCTTGTCTCCATTGGCTTCTCTTGATGCGCAGAGGAACATGGTGTACATTTGTGGCATGGGGCGTGTTAGGTTGTTGCTTGACGTGTATGTCGATGGCTTAATCCTCACCAACAATGATCCGAGCTAAATAGCCAATTAAAGGAGGAGATGCAACGATCATTCAAGATGAGCTACCTTGGATTGCTAAGCTATTTCCTTGGGATCATGGTGAGGCAAAGCCCTACTATGATCACCATGTGCTAGGCGATGTATGCAACAAAGCTCCAGACAAGCCTAGTATGAACAGCAGCAACTCAACACAAGTGCATATGAAGTCGCGGCTCAAACTTAGTAAGGAAAGTGCATTCCTCTCGATTCTACAATGGATCGTAGTATTGTTGGGAGTTTGCATTGTCTAGTGCACACACCCCGATATCAGCTTTGCCGTCGGTTATATGAGATGGTTTGCCTCATGGTCAATCCAACGATGGAGTACATGAGAGCAGTTGAGGATCTACTTCGATTTGTTGCCTGCACCACTCACTGTGGCCTCTGCAATGTCATGGGTGCTAGTGAACTCAAGCTCATTGGGTACAGGCGTACAACGATGATGACAAGGCCAATGATCTTGATGAATGCAAAAGCATTTGTCGGTGTTCTCGCCTCGACCGCACTCGGTGACCTGGTAGTCACGAAAGCAATCAGTGGTGGCCCTGTTTAGCTGTGAGGCGGGTGGGGTACATAGCCGCCTGCTTAGCGGCGTGCCAAGGCATCTGGCTCGGACGTCTGCTTGGGACTTTTTACCTGTGGGCAGACATCATCGCTTCAATCAATATCAATAACTAGTCAGTGGTTCATCCATGCAAAAATCTGGTCTTCCCATGGCCGGAGTAAGCACATTGAAGTCGTTTCCATTTCATCCGGGAATGCATGGAGGGTAGGAAGGTCAACATTTAGAAGATTGGCTCCGATGATCAGCTGGCTAATATCCTCACCTATCCGCTCAGTGCATCAGGTTTTTGGAGCTTCGTTCGAGGATGGGTGTGGTAAAGCTAGAGCCAGGCAGCCAACACATCAACCTTAATAGGAGAAATGTTAGACTGAATAATCTGGTGTGCATGTACATATGTAGTTTTTGTTCTTTGCTTGTTCATGTATGCGTGTGCACCATGTTGCCATGAACACAAGGGAGCTCTGTGGTGCAGATCTGGTGCCAAGTGCGTCTTCTGAGTGCATGACACAGGTTGCGTGCAGGGTACGTCACGAGCAGCTTACACCATGTGTGTTCGTCGCCAAGAAAAAGGCAAAGTTTTAGATTATATACTGTTCCTTTTAAGGAGAAATTGACTCCACGTGCTTGCAAGGCCAAAGTTTGTGTGTTTCCATGTGTTCATGCCCATCGCCGGTGTGGTTGGGCCGACATTTATTTTATGTCTGATGGGGGATATTGTTAGGTATAGTTTCACACTGGAAATTGAAAGCGAGGTAGGTCTGAGTATTTGACTATGAGCAATGTCAAACTGTTGCACACTCTAACAAACATACATTACCAAATAGAATTAATATCACTAATAAAACATATGAAATCTAAGAGAGTCAAATCCATGCTATTATAGGCCATGCATATCCCTTAAATGACATTTCAGATACGTCTCATTGGGATTAGTGTAGCCAAGCCAACCTACTTTTATTTACCCAATCGATATTTCATGGGCTTGTTTAATATTGTCCACTGTCCCCACCAGACACAAACATAACCATTTGTCTGAGAGCCTGTGCCCACTTTGGTTGTTTTGTACTTTTGTTCCCTGTTGAATTTCTGGTCTTCAGGTTAGTACATCTAATAATTGCCTATTATTCTCAAATGATCTTTTGGAACAATTAGTCATGATATGGATATGTCCTTTATATGCTCCTACAAAAGCCTTATTTTTGTACTATACAGTCTAGTAACAGTTCATATATATGTTTCTGCAGCTGAAATCCATAACTTTCAAAATTCAGAAATGACCGGTGAAGCTAGTACCATGGAAAGCACACAGAATGAGACAAGTCTACTAAGTACATTGCCAAAGGAATTGCCACTAGAGTTTTTCATCCAAATTACGTCTGGATTCTCTAAAGAGCGAATAATCCGTGGAAGCGCATTTGGAACATTTTATAAGGTACGATTATTAGTTAATATTATCAGGGTTGTACAGAAAATGTGCTAATTTAAAGCATATTTGAAAAATTAATAGGGAATTCTGCAAAATGGGCAAGTGGTTTCTGTGAAGAAGCTTGCAGAAAATATGCAAATTCCTGCTGGCAGACAATTTCACAGTGAGGCAACAAATCTTTTTGTTGCACAACATCAAAATATAGTGAAGTTGCTTGGGTTCTGCGGTCAGTCGACAAAAAAGATGGTGAAACGCAATGGGAGATTTATTCTTGTTGACAAGGATGAATTTGTACTCTGCTACGAACATGTACCGAGGGGAAGCCTTCGCCACTATCTTTCAGGTATGATTGCACTATTTAACTACTTGGCATATATGTTTTATCTTATATTTGATTGACGTAATAAATAATAAGGATTGCACAGTTTGTATCGTCTGCCCCCTTTTTTTGCACTTGAAATGATACAAAAAGCTGGGTTGGCCCAGTGAGCGGTCGGAATGCAAGTAGGCTGACCCGCAAATCTGCATGCAGGCTTAATTTTGAGGGTTGCTGCGAGGATCGCACAAAATTAACCCTATATGTGGTTTGGTAGGTTGGTCCGCTTGCATCCCTAGTACTGACCGGGTGTACTCAATGGCCTGACTGGGCTAGCGTACAATAAACAAAGAAGTAAGTTCATGGTACCACTATCCAGTGTTGGAAACCTCTCAAGGTGAGCACACATACAAGGCACGAATGCACAGGTGTAGTGCTGCTGGGTACCTTGATATTTGTAGAAAAACAGTTATGTTACAATGGTGAAGAGTCAATTATGACTACAGGGAAGGCCATACTCCCACTACTGTCTACAGGAGAGGCCATACTCCCACTGCTGACCATAGCTACTATGATACAACTTGAAACATGGTTGCACACCAACCCCCCCCCTGAAGTCAACACACAGGAACAAAAGTAAGGGATTGACTAAACTAAACAGACGACACAATTAAGGTGCACAAGTCTTCATGCACACCAACTCCCTATGAAAGCTAGAGTTAGAAGAATACTCATCTCTCCCCTCTCCCATATTCTAACTCATCTCTCCCCTCTCCCATATTCTAACCAATCCCGAGCACTTGAACATTAAATTCTCTCTGCTAGACTTAGCGAACCGAGCCCGAACAAGGATAAACCTCTTGTGTCATGAGTGTTAGACCACGGAATCACACACAATCGACATACTAATCACTAGCCATGGCTATGAACCCACGACCCCTAGGTAATCACAAGACTAGGCGCCATTCCTACGCTATCGATTACTACTATAGTTTAGTTATGACTAGAGCATTTGATGCGGATGAGGAGCAGTAAATAAACTCGAATTAAGTGCTAAACTTAACTAAAGAGACAATCCAGAAATACTAGAGCAGTATTACACGAAGATACAAGTTAGGAAAGGATACGATAGGCCTGGCTCCTCCCTAGCCTCGCCTCGCCTTGCCTCTCTCCCAGATATTCTCTATACTACAATTGGATCTATGTGGAAAGAAGTGAAGCTCCAAGTGTTTGTACAAGTGAGGGAGAGGGTCCTAGCTTGGAGGTGTATTGGGAGAATGGAAATGTTCTCCTGGATCCATGGTTATCAAAGCGCTAAAGCGAGGCGTGGCGACTGACTACCGCCTTACGCTTAAGCGAGCAAGGCGTGAGGCGAGGCGATGCCTTATGGTCATCCTACAGTAGAATAAAAGCATGTCCCATGTGTTGCCATTTATAGATGAACTGCTGCCAAAGGCCAAAGCAAAAGCACGCCAGCAGTGCAAAAAGCAAGTGCAGCACGCCAGCACCCAGTTGACATATATAAAAATATAAAATACAAAGCAAGTGCAGCACGCCAGCCCCTGCTGCTGAGGGAGGTCCAGAGGAGGCCGCTGCTTGAGGGCGGAACAGACCAGAGGAGGCCGCTGCTTGAGGGCGGAACAGAGGAGCGGTGGGCGCTAGCGTCCTGCTGGCTGGTGGCTGCTCTCCTCTCTCTCGTTCTCCACCACTGCAGTTCCACCTCTGCCCGGATGCGCTGCGCTTCTCTGCTCTGCTTCCCTCCGCCCCTCTCTCTGGATGTGCTGATCTGCTTCCCTCCGCCCCTCTAGTTCTCCTTCCTCACTGCTGAGCACTCTCAGATCCACGGCCGCCGCCACCGTTCTTGAGGGGGAAGATGGCGTGGCCGCACGGCTCGGCGGTAGGCGGGTGACAACTTCCTCTCCCGCTCACTGGTGAGAGGAATCTCCCTCTCTATTTCTCCCGCGCTGGCCTATTCCTCTCATGCTGCTTCTCGTGCGCGGTGTTTCTCCCACGCACGCTCCCTTCTTTTTTCCCACTGTTCCCATCGATCCCGCTTGATTTTAGCTCGCCCGTATGGCGCCCACCACAGCGGATTTGGCGCGATTTAGACGCCAAAGCGACGATCTCCGGATGCCTCAGTTGTAAGGCGGACGCCGTACGCGGATAAGGCGAGTCGTCCTTCGAGTCGTGCAGGCCGGAGCACTTTGGCGCTTAAGCGACGCTTTGATAACCATGCATGGATCCTAGAGAATGTCCCCTTTTCATAGGCCATCCAATCCAAGTGAGGCTTCATCTTAGCTCTTGAATGAAACCGTCATTCATCCAACGCTTAGGTTTGCTCCTGAGTGTGTTTCCTGGCATGTGGATGAAGTTGGGCCAATTGCTAGGCCAGGTGACCTCCCCTTAGGGCCTCTACTACAAACCCCACTTCCCTTGGGCCCTATGATGAGTAAGGGCTCTGATAGGAACCCTAGTCCTACCGAGGATTGATCTCAGGTTGTATGAGTGGGAGGAGGAAGTCGAGGCTTGAGCGAGCGAGGAAGACGGCGCCGAGGCGCCGTGGCTGCACAGGCGCGAGAAGGCCGAGGGTGGTGGCGCTACAGTACCGTCGCTACAGTACCTCGGTGCTGTTCACGGAAGGAAGAAGGAAGGAGGCGGCTAGGGTTTCTCCCGGCTCCCTGAGGAAGCAGGAAACAATAATTGTTTCTGCTTAATCTCCCGTCAAAGTCTTACAAGCTATTTATATCCCTTTATCTAAAAATATAAATAACTCCCTAATAATAATAATAATTTTACTAATAATAGATAGACTAGACTCGGACGCTACCGCCATGAGCCCTCCACATGTGTACGGCAATTTAGCCACTAGAGGGCCTTTGCTGCTTGAGGAGATGCCCGTCATAACATCTCTCCCTTTCAGCGAAAACAAATTTCGCCCTCGAGCTAGAAGTCGGGGAAGTTGTCGTGGAAGGCGTCAAGAGTCTCCCAGGTGGCGTCGTCGTCGGAGAGGCCATGCCACTTGACCAAGAGCTTCCAGGCGCCACGACGTTCTCTGCGCCGCAAAGACACGCGCTGCAGGTGCAGAAGCACACTGACCATCGAAGCGTCGGTGGAAAATCGCCGAGTGCGATCGGAGGGTCGCCATGCAGTGTCGCTTCGAAGACCAACATGGAAGACGTCGTGGATGCGGCGCTCTCGAAGTCAGACGATAGGCGACGCGACCGGCGCGCTCGAGAACGCTAAACGGACCGCCCATCGTGGCCCCGACTATGCTTTGGCCTGCTGGGTCCGAGTGGACTGCGCGTGGTGCGGTGGAGAAGACGCGCAGCTGCACTCCACGCGCCCACCTCGAACTCAACATCCCTGTGGTTGGCGTCGTAGTACTTCTTGGACAGCTGCTGTGCTTGGACGAGCCGCTGACGGACCTCCGTGAGCATTTCGTCGCGGCTGCGGAGAAGGGTGTCGGCTGTTTCGGTATTGGCCGTCCCAAGCTTGTAGGGAACGATCGGGGGCGGGGAGCGGCCGTACACGACCTCGAAGGGAGTCGCGCGAAGGGCGGTATGGAAGGAAGTATTATAGCAATACTCCGCCCAAGAGAGCCGACCCACCAAGCGCTTGGCACGGTCACAGTAATACAAACAGATACATAGCAATCACCTTGTTAACCACCTCCGACTGGCCGTCCGTCTGAGGATGGAAGTCTGTGCTCATACGTAGAGTCACGCCCGCTCGTTGAAAGAGGTCACGCCACACGTGGCCGGTAAACACGGGGTCCCTGTCACTGACGATAGACCGGGGGAACCCATGCAACCGGACGATGCCGTCAAAGAAGGCGCGAGCGACCGACGCTGCAGTGTAGGGGTGGCCGAGCGCAATAAAATGCGCGTACTTGGAGAAGCGGTCGACGACGGTGAGGATGACCGACTTGCCGCCAACCTTGGGCAGCCCCTCGATGAAATCCATAGAAATGTCTGCCCACACCTGAGACGGCACCTCAAGGGGCTGCAGGAGGCCGTCCGGCTGAAGGGCCTCCGTCTTGTTGCGCTCGCACGTCACACACATGCGCACCTGATCCCCGCACCAAGGAACGATCACCGGGGATAAAAAATCAGCGGAGACGGTGAAGAGTCTTCGATCCTCGTGGCGCACCATGCGCGAGGTTGAATAGCTGGTGCCGGGAGGTCGCCGATGTCGGGATGAACACGCTGGAGCCGCGAGAAGAGAGGTCACCGCCCTCGCGCCACTGGCGGTCGTCGCCACAAGCAAAGCGGCACGCATGCAATGGATTCAAGATTCGAGTCAGAGCCGAGGCGCGCGTATATGGTCGGCGAGAGCGAAGGTCGGCCCGGAGAGTGCAGCCACTGCTGCAGCCGTGCAGGAAGCCTCTGGGGCCATGTCGGCGTCGCGGCGGGACAAGGCGTCCGCCACAGTGTTGAAGCGACCCGGGCGGAACTCGACAGCGAAGTCGAAACCGAAAAGCTTGCTGACCCACTGGTGCTGAGGTACCGTAGAAAGGCGCTGGTCCAATAAGTACTTGAGGCTGTAGTGGTCCGTGCGCACCACGAAGTGGCGGCCCCAAAGGTAGGGCCTCCAATGCCGCACAGCCTGCACCAACCCGATGAGCTCACGCTCGTAGGCGGCAAGTTTGAGATGGCGAGCGGCGAACGGCCTGCTGAAGAAAGCGAGGGGTCCCGCGCCCTGATGAAGGACGACGCCGAACCCCGCGCCGGACGCGTCGCTGTCGACGATGAAGACCTTGTCGAAATCGGGCATCTGGAGCACGGGGCCCGTGGTAAGCGCGCCCTTGAGCGCCTGGAAGGCCGCCTCGGCGTCGTCGTCCCACTCGAACGCGTCTCGGCGCAAGTGGCGCGTTAGTGGGGCTGCGATGACACCGAAGTCCTGGATGAACTTCCGGTAGTAGCCGGCGAGCCCGAGGAAGCCTCGCAAGGCCCGAGCAGAACGTGGAGCTGGCCACGCAGCCACCGCCGCGATCTTGTCGACGTCCATGGCGACGCCCGCCGCGGAGATGACGTGCCCGAGGTAGGCCACCGAAGAGGCCCCAAACGAACACTTGGAACGCTTGAGGTGGAGGCGGTGGGCGCGGAGGGCGGTGAGGATGAGGCCGATGTGTTGTAGGTGCTCCGCCCAAGAGGAGTTGTAGATCAGAATATCATCAAAAAACACCAGCACAAACCTTCTAAGAAACGGTCGGAGGACGTCGTTCATCAGCGCTTGGAAGGTAGCCGGGGCGTTGGAGAGTCCGAAGGGCATCACCAAGAACTCATAATGCCCCTGGTGTGTGCGGAAGGCCGTCTTGCTGATGTCGTCCGGGTGCATCCGCACCTAATGGTAGCCAGAGCGCAAGTCCAACTTCGTGAAGAAGCAGGCGCCGTGAAGCTCGTCCAGAAGCTCATCCACCACTGGGATGGGGATCTTGTCCTTTGAGGTCTTCGCGTTGAGGGCGCGGTAGTCGATGCAGAACCTCCAGGACTTGTTCGCCTTGCGAACAAGGAGGACCGGAGCGGAGAACGGTGACGTGCTGGGGCGGATGATGCCTTGGGCGAGCATCTCATCGCACTGCCGCTCCAGCTCGTCTTTCTGAAGCTGAGGATAACGGTATGGCCGCACCGCCACCGGGAC